TGTCAATCGGCCCAGTAGAACGGGAGATATAGCACTGTCCCATTTTTTTTTTTGAGCAGTGTACATATTTACATAAGTTTTTTCTTATACTAAGGGAAATTAAACATTGATACTAATAAACTGGGACATACCGAATATCAGATATTCATAGATGGGAAAAGCAAACTGGGAAAGCTGTGAAGAGGAAACAGCTGGTGACAAACCTGAAAAGACACTTAATATCTAAGCACAACAAAAACATAGAGTAAGTGTGGATCTCTTGGTGCTTTGAGAAGAATATGCAGATATAGCATACAACACAGACAGAAAAATGATAAAAATTTTATCAATATTATTGCTGAATATGGCCATTGGCCTCTTACTATTGTTTACATTATTGACATCATAATTGTAAACCCGGATAACTGAGTTGTTAATGTTATCAAGATTATCATAAAATTTCCGGGCAAGCCGGCAGTAATAATGCCTTAACTGCTCATCTATTTTCCGATTACAGACATACCAGGGTGCATTAGCAATTTGCCTTAAGATAAGGTTTGGCACTTGTTGCAACTTTTTTCTAGTAGTAGAGTAGGCCCAGACTGGGCAAGCATAGCATAGGATGGGACGCAAAATGTTTTTGTAAATAAGCAACATGTTGTCTATTGAAAGTAAGCTGTTTAGAGAAATTGGTGGGTGAAGTGTAACTTAGTAGTAAACTCAAAACTTTTGGATGATAGTTATAATGTGTGGGGTCCACGGGAGAGTTTTACAGAGGATCACCCCTAGATAAAGGACTTGTTTGGCCCATGGGATTTCTTGTCCGTAAAATTGAAGTTTTGTATTGAACTTGTTCTTTTTTTGTAGACACGGTTGCCTGTGTCTTGTCCATGTTGACTTTGATTTTCCGTTTTTTCAGCCAAATCTCAAGTATGTTAATGTATTCTTGTAACTGTTGTATTGCTGGGCTGAGAAATGTACTTTGAGTAAGGATCGCAGTATTATCAGCATACATTGTAAGTGTAGTATTATCTGTAATAGGAATGTTGTTCACGTATATATTAACCCTCCAAGCGACAAGGCCATATACATATGGCCTTGCTGCTTAGAGGTTCCGATTCTTGCTGGATTATTTTTGCAATATCTGTACGAACCTATATATACATGTATATTAAAATATGTCAAAGAAATTAAGGCAATATATCAAAAGTACGCGAATCCAGGTATGAAATACCAGCAGAGTTTTTACATTAAAATAAAAAAAATAATAATAATAAAATTAAAAAAATTGTTCTTGCAGTAGTTTTGGATAATTTGTGCTTTCTTAGCGAAAACCCTGGCCGCTCAGAGGCTTAAAGTGGGTCCAAGCAAAGAACACTGTCGTACGCCTGCAAGGATAGCTCTGTGTGTAGACAGTGTGTTTGGTACTTGAACGAGAAAGTGTCTATCTGCCAGGTAGGAATTGTGTTTGTGATGTAACCTGGGAAACCTAGGTTGTGTAACTTGTAGATTAGTGTGTCTAGCATACATGATCAAAAGCTTTCGCAATGTCAAGAAATAGTCCTCCTGGGCCTTTTTTTTTTTCTGCTGAAATCCTTCACTGAGGTATTCAACAACTGTGTACAGTTGTTTGACTGTGGAATGTTTGCTTCTAAATCCAAACTGGTAAGGTATTATGATGTCATTGTGTTCTAAGTGTTCATTAATTCTCTTCAGCAGGACAGCTTCCATGATTTTACTTAATGATGACAGCAAGCTGATAGCTCGATAGGACTCAGGCAGGCTGACTTGCGAGGCTTGAGAATTGGAGTGATTTTAGCTACCTTCCACTTCTCAGGAAAGTGTTTGCCATTGCAGGATGCTATTAATGATCTTGGTAAAGAATAATTTTGACAGGAAATCTTTTGATCATTCTGTTGTTGATAGAACTGGGTTCGGGGCTCTTGTTGTACAAGGTACAGTCATTGGATTGGTCATAATATGTTTCCCTTTTCAGTTCGTAGTTTCACAATTTTGATGACTCCATCTTTCTCTGGAAAGAGTTCTCCAGTACTCTCCATAGCAGTCAATGGAGCCTTTTTTCCATCATCTGTAACAATTAACACTATGTTACGTACATTTATTTTATCTTCTCTTTTGGTAACTGAAGAACGAAGGAAATCCAGATACTCCCTTTTAAATCTTTATTTCAGATTTTCACCTCTGAACCCTTCTGAATATGTCTCCATCTCAAAACAATATTAGTCTTTTCAATTTGATCCAACCCCTCAGGGGCTCACTTTTTGTAAGTACAAGTGTGGCAATCTCGAGGTACCCTAGCCTTTCAGGAGATCAACTTTTTGGTGAGACGAGTGCCATGATCCTGGAGCCCCAGTGATGTATCTCCACTCTTCCTTCTCAATTATATTAGTCTTATCATTGAATTGGAATGTCCTGAAAAACGTTGAGAGGGTCAAGGTCTTCAGTTCTTGTTCCTTGGATACGTAAGTTAATGGTCTGCTATTTATGACAGATTCGCATTCACAGTCGAGAATCTGCAATTCCTCATAAGACAAATGGGAGCGCTGAAGATTTTTTCGGAAAAGATTTTTCAAAATTCCAATCAAGTGTTCCCAGAAGCTTCCCCACCATAGAGAGGATGGTGGGTTAAACTTCCAATGAATTTTGTTGACTCTAAATTCACTTTCAATTAGGGTCCAATATAATTGTTTCAGAGTGTTGTTTAGTCCTGTAAAATTATTACCATTGCCTGAATACATCACAGAAATCCGTCCTCTTCTGGCTATAAACCTATGCATAGCTTGGATGAAGTCATTGGTAGTAAGTGAAGGTATTAGTTCAAGATGGGCAGCACTAAATACGCTGCAAGTAAAAAGTACTATCAACACCTTTTGTTTAGATTTAGTCAACAGAGGTCCAGGTGTGTCTACACCCGATACTGGAAAAACTGTTGCTACTTCTGTTTGATCTTTTGGAAGAGGCAGAAAAGGTACTTCAAGATGTTTCACCTTTTGCCTTTTACATTTTAAGCATTCTGTGATAACACTCTAGATAGTCCTTTTCCCTTTCAAAATCTTTCATGTAAAATAGTCAGTAATGTCTGAGCATGTTTGTTAGCAAGATGTTCTTGGGCATAAATCTTCTTGCTGCCAGGTGTTTCGATTACTGTGTGTTCACATAACGGCCATTCTTTAATGATATGTTACTGGGTCTGCTGTCCTATTCACATAAAACAATGTTTGGTATAGCTACGCTGCAGTCTTGTAAGTAATGCAGGAACTTTTAGATGAGCATAGATATTCTATGTATGATCTTCGTATTTTATACTTTGAAGTAATATACGCATGTTCTTTCATATTTACTGTATGAGACATGGGAATGGATGTTAGTTCGTTTCCATAAACAATAATACTGTCTTTAGACTTGTTTTCAAAGAGTTAAAACAGTTGTTGCTTTGTACATTTATAGAAAAGCCCAAGTTTATTCATTAAATGTGGAATACATGACAGTAAAATAAATCTTTTGCCATTGAAAAATTCTGCCAGTATAGACTGCCTTTTCTGAAACTTTGAAATTTTCACTCCTTTTTGTAACAGTTCCACTTCTGTAAACAATATCCAAGCAGCTGTGCATTTGTTTTGGGAAAGTCCAAATCACGAATAAGAATCGTTTAGTTCTTCCTGAGACATAAAATGGGGCTATTTAATTTCTGCTACATTTGTATTCGTCTTTCTATAGAAAACTTGAACTGGCTTTTGTTTCAAAATTATTAATTCATCGGATTCCGAGTCGATTTTGTATTTATTTGGGGAAAGCTTTGGGACAGGTATGCTAGAAGCATCATGAAATTTCATGGCTGAGGGGATGTTGCAATATTCAGTTTTGTGTTTGCTTTTAGTGAAAAACTCCAGGATTTTTGTTACACAAAAGTAGCAGTCATCAACTTGATTCTGAGGTTCCTGCCAAATCATTGTCACTCAACTTCATAGATTTGTGAGTAACATGTAGCCATCCTGTCAAGTTTCTTGAGTGAATCTGACAGCAAATTTTGGGAACCCGAGTTTTCCCTTAATTGTCAATTTAACTCGCAAAATATCTCGTAGGCTTTTCTTACAAGTGGGTTCAGTCTTTCGTTGAGCTTTCAATGTCACTTCACCATATGCATATATAACAGAAACTGTTCAGGTTGTTGACACAGGATCGTGACAACATCATTTACGCACAGCAAAAATAATAGCATTGTTACAACATTATCACTATTCACTGGTTCTTTTATACTTCACTCATATCCAATACTGATCCTCCGATGACTGACTGACTGACTGCTTATTTACCCATTTCGCACACCTGGTGTTTTCTAGAAACATCGGGTATTGAGAATACCAGCAGCAATGACATAAATTCTGTATTGTCAGATTTTTTGGCAGCTGTGTGAGCCACCCGTGTGTTCCGTCTAAGGGGGTTCTCTAGATTATAGTGAACTCTACTGATTAACCATTATGGTAGAGGGAAGTGCGCGTGTCCACCGTCACTGGTCACTGTATTGCCAGATTGTGTACAATTTCCCTAAACTTAGAGAAAACAAAGACTTGGCAACGTTGCACCCTGGTATGCTATAACATTTTATATATCACATAGGTGCATCTTTTGTACTTGTTGTATATTCAATCAAAACATATTGTTGATGTTCTCTAGATTTTGGTACATGATACAACAATTTACAGGTCAGTGTAAGTGTTACATAGGCAGAAACTATCGAAATAACACATTAGTCTGGCAGGAGGCATGTTCATGCAGAACGGTGTTACTTATACTATGGTTTATTTCTCATTTCTATGTTATTTTAAACTGCTGTCAAATTAACTATGATTTTGTTTTAACTGTGCATGTTTTTGCTCTGTATTATCCCGGTTAATTTATATTTTATGCATTGTAAGATTTTATTTGTTTAAAAAAATTATTTAGTATAATTATTGACATATATTTTGAGTTGTTTTTGATAAAGAATATTTTATTTTTAGCTGCAAGAGGTCGAGGACGTGCCCGAGGATTATTCCAACGTCATAAGTAGATACATCTTCATATTTTTGGGGGAAGATATTGAAGCTTATTTCTGTGTTTTTTATTCAGTTTTCATTTTAACATTTTGTACGTAAATTCTTCATTAAAGTGCATTTTATCATCATCTGATTAATGAGGTTTAACTGCACTTGTGATTGTAAAAGGGAATTAATAAATTCTTTATATAATAATAATTACTATTATTATGGTAAAACTTTGGTTTGCAAGACTGTGATTCAATAAACTCTGAAAATTCTTTTCATAAAAAAAACACGGATATCGAAATTAAAGAGTTAGGAAGTGCTAACTGCATTTTTTGGTTGCAAAGTGCAAAGGACTTATTAATCATGAATTTGCATTTAAAAAAATATTCATTTAATTAGCATTTCTTCAAGGAATTGTTTATTATTATTATTATTATTAAGGAATAGGATAAAGTGAGTTACGAAGGATTCTGGTCAATGGTTTCTTTTACACGATAATGCTGAATATCATAAAGCATTGTCTGTACAGCAGTGTGTTGCTTATTTAGTTTCAGGGATAAACCACTCACCATAATCTCCTGACTTACCGCCAAATGATTTTTTCCTTTTTCCAATGGTTATGAAAGAACAGAGATTTGGAGACTTCTCTGATCGAATGTTGTGCGTATTGTAAGAAGCATTAGTTTTAATGACTGTAAACAGTGTTTTGATGACCTGATGAAAAATGATAATGTTTCGATGACTGTTTGAAAAATTGTGTAGATTTCCTTTGGATATCATTTTGAAAGGGATAATTATTCAAAGATGCAAATCTTTTTCTTATTTGTAAGAAACTGTCCCGTTGTGTGGGTGCAGCTTTTCTCTGTATACTTTTGTTTTGTAATTGCAGCATTTTTAACAATATAATGTTCTGTGCTCTGTTTACATTACTAATAGTATGCTGACTTATCATTTACAATTAAAAAGCTATTAAAACACAAAAGAATAATTTTATTTTCATTCATTTAAATTATGCCTTTAACAAAGAAGCAAAATTATATTTTGCTGGCATTTACCCTTAAAAAGTTGTGCATCAATGCCTTAAAACATTTTTGCGATTACAGTGTCTGCTGTGGCTGAGACTGCTGACAATTAGTAGTTCAGCATGGTTTAAAATTCCTTGAAGCAGGCTGAGTGCTATAATTTTCCCTATATTTAATGTATACATGAGGCACTTTTCCTGGAAAGACTGTGGAGGCAGGGGGTCCCACCAGCGGCCGAGCGGTAAAGTCGCTGGGCACTGGTAGTTCGATCCGGGGTTTGAATCCTGCAAACGGGCTGACTGCCTAGGCGTTTTTGTGGTTTTCCCCATGTGTAACGGGTATACGAGCCAGTTTTCCTTAGAAAGTCCTCCATGAATGTATCTCTTCCCTTAGGCAGATAGCTCCTGAGCCTTTGCCATAATCACATAAACAAAACTGCTTCAGGCAGATAACTCCGGTGTGCTTTGTCATAGTCTAATAAAACTAGATTTAATCTGTCTGTTTACATAGAATTACAAATTGGTTAAACATATATACACAAATACATTTAGTGATCAAAATTAAAAATACTTCACAATACTCAAATGAATATGCTATTATAATAAAACACCAGACAAGATGAAAACAAATGAGCAATAATATTTAGAAAACAAACACAAGCTGTTAACTGCAAAAAAGCAAAAGAAATGAATAAGCTGAAATATTTGTATAAATGAACAATCTTGTTCCTTCTTTGAGAACTGCACCTCAAGCAATATATTCCCAAGAGGAGGGTCAATTGGCCCCTATCACCATAAAAGAAGAAGTCTGTCTAAATCTCGGGGTAATCCTGTAGAATGCAATCTACTGCTTTTATTTAATTATTCGTTTCTTAGATGGCCTCACTAAAACAGAATTTTAAAACTTGAGCTTGCAAAAAATGGGAAAAGGAAATGATTCAAATAACAATCAATTTTAATCCCGCCATTTAGGTAAAAAACAATTGAATGAAAGCGGTAGATCGAATACTATTTGATAACATTCGATATACAGGTTGTAACAAAACTTATAGCAACAACTGTAAAGGGTAACTAATTCAAGGTTACTTATACCCCAATCCATTCAAGGACGCATAATAACGCTCTCCCAGATAAATACTCCCCATTTCAGCTAGGGGTCTGGGATCGTAAAGCTCAACGCGCTACGCAGGGCGAAAAGTCGAAGAGCTGGCCTACTCGGAGGGCTGAAACCACCTATATTCCAGGACAGTATTGACTGCCAAGGTACAGATCCTAACCAGTAGCTTCACAGGTTTTCTTGCGTTGACCCCCCGCGGTGAACTTCAAGGGGTGATAGAACTTTCCAGAACAAGTTTCACCCTACAATGTAAGGTTGAAACGCAAGCGGTGAGCTGCGAGAAGATGCTTCTCCATAGTGGATGAAATTTTAGCAGAATCCACCATTCAGCTGCTAATCGTCGCCAGAGTTGCAGCAATATTCAAATATGGAGAAGGTTGTTATGCACCTTATATACAGAGCTACAGTTGCAGGACAAGTCCGCAAGACTTTACCAGGAGTGACTTCCGAATAGAGCACTGCCCGATCAGAGACTATTTTAATGCCTGCACAGATAACTCTTGGAGACGGCCTCGTTCTAGAGGCCATACATGACACAGGTCAGTCAAAGAAACAATTCTCAAGGCAGGGAATAACCGGTCTAATCACGCCATATAGATAATAAATAAATAAATAAAAGTGGTACAACCTAAATGAAACACAAGACCAATGGCTCATGACAAAGGTGTCAGTCGTATGACAATATATATAAGTGAAGTATGACGTGGAGAAAGGCTCCACCCTTACCACCTCCAGTGGATCTAGACCTTAATGAAATGGATTTCCCACAACGTGTAACATTTGCATGTTGGTTCCTGCAACATATACTGTATCTATATTTTGGAGCAACTTCCCAGTTTATGAGCGAGGCTTACATTCATATGTGGCGGCATATTTAATACGCACAAAAATCGTGTGTGTCACAGTAATTCCACATGCTACATGTTCAAGATGGTGCCAGCAAGCAATGAGTATCCTCGATCACTTAATTGACCCATACCTTTTACCAGATCGCCTGGACCGACAGAAATACCTCACTTCCTTTAGCAGATGTTGGCCTGATTTATTGCAAAATGTGCCAGCACATGTTTAAAAATTATGTGGTCCAACAAGATGGAGAGCCACAAAATTTCTTCAGTTTTGTGCGAAACAACATGGACAGATAAATTGGCTTACCGAACAGATAATTTGTCTCATTCGGTTCGTTTTCTTTCGGGTTTCCCAATCTGTTCTGCCTAGATTTTTTTCTTAAAAGCAGCTAAAAAGACGTTGATCGAGACACCGGAAGACTCTGTCGCCCGAATTAGAGTCACAGCTGCAGAAGGTCGTAAAATGCCAGGAAACTTCCAATATATGTGTAAATCCTTCCTCGCCGGCGTGATGCTCATATTGCAGCTGGTGGTCCCTCCTTTAAGTGTTTGTTGTAAAATTTACAGTAATAAAGATTACTTATCCTTTAACTGTTCGTCTCTATTGCTGTGTTCTCCATTTTCCCCCAACAGACACCCTCTGGTAGCTTGGCGTTTGTTTTCCGACCACAGATTGTGTTGTAAAAGTTGTTTGTTTTGGAAAGTTCTATCACCCTTTACAGTTGTGACCATTAGATTTGCTACATTCTGTATAATGCCAATAATATATATATATAATATATTCAGAGAATAACATTGAAAATCTAATCAAGGAACTTAGAACTTTGTTAAGGAGAGAAGTGCTGCCAGGAAGCACTGTCAACGTATAAGACATCCAAACAACAAACATCGTCTGAATCAGGGGCACACTTTTTCAGCTCTAACAAACGTCGAGGATCATCTCAGCAAGACTGTTACACCAATTCATGTTCCGCAAATGATTCGTCTGTCTGGAAAGAAATTTCTAAATTCTACTGTAAAATTCTGCCTCTTATAGGCTTTCAAAGGAGTCATTACTGGAATCGGAAGCTGATAAAGCAGATCTTTTATCTCCTTATCTGAAATGTCTCTTTCACAGAAATAACAGTCACTGCAACAAAGCTCAGCGTTTCGAATTTCATGTCCGAATACTTTACAATGCTACCCACAAACAACATTATTACAATCTCTGTGTTGGAAATCTTTGGCTACGTAAAAACTCTACAAGTTAAAAAGAACTCGGGAACTAATTACCTAAAGAATAAGATGATAAATGCTCTCAACCAAAGTGATATTTAAACTGATGAACATATTCAGTATCACTGTAGAACACCTGCATTTCTGTGACATTTGAAGACGGCAATGATAACACTGCTCCTGAAGTCAAAGTGCCTAGTGCATCTGAATCTTAGACACCAATCAACCTCTCTCCTTCGTCATTCAAATTTATGGAAGCAGTCATCATGAGGAGAATAAGAGACCACTTGAATCAAAATGATGTACTAATCTTGCATCAGTTTGGACTCAGAAAGCGATTGTCAACCATCTCTACCGTGTTTCTGAAATAATTTGGGAGGGCCATCATAAGAAAAAATACACTGGAGACCTTTTTCTCGATACAGACAAAGCTTTTGATTGCATCTGGTTGGACAGAGTCAAACACAAAATACTCATCTTGGGATTTCTAGGATATGTCACAAAAATAATTAAATCCTACTTGTCAGGTAGACACTTTGTAGCTCCCATTTGTAGCAAATATTCTACCCATCGAGCTATCTTAGCCGCCTTCCTCAAGGGTCCCTCTTCAGACCCACTTTATTTAATAATTATGTGAACAGCATTTTATTGGCACCAAACACGCAATGTATATCGACAGCATAGTGATCCTGACACAAAACTCATTTTGCAGTTCAGCGCAACACTTACAAACTCATATTCAGACACTTGAGATTTCGATAGCAAAAAGGAAATCTTGAATCTATTGAGAAATCATTTTTGATAATGGTCATCTAAAAAAAGAAACTAAGCAATTATCTCAAACTCTTCGGAACTTTTCTGGGACGGAGTAACCTTAAGGGGCGATACTCACAAATTTCGCTGAAATGGAGCCACATGTTGTAAAGAGAGAAGTAGAGGGCGCTGCTTGGCAGTAGCGCAACGCATGTAAGTAGAAACGAAATTTCGTTTGATTAGGCAACATGATTTGTGAAGGTAATCCACCTAACAATAGGACAGTTGTAAATATGTAAATATAATGAATAATAAATAGCATTAGAAAACTGAACCATCGGATGTTTTGTGCTTGCTCTACGGGCCGCCATGGATAAATGCAGTTTCGTCACAATGGTGCATCTTACGGAAATGTTTGGATTTGTTAAAGTGAACTTCACGAGGAAGTATGTGTCCAGACCATGCCCTAGGTAAGAGCGTGATTATTACTAAATTTTGAACTTCTTTGATTTGAATTTTGATAATTTGCAGTCTTGGGTACATTTGTGTATTAACGCGAAATAATGGCAGAACTAGATAGATTAAAAAAACGAAAGAGAACCGCATTGAGAACGGTAGTATCTAAACTACTAAAGAAAGTCGAGGATAGCTTAGCAAAGAAAGATACAGATGAATTATGCGAAGTGCATGAATTATTAATAGAAAAGAAAAGTAATTTGAAAGAATTAGACGAGGCAATTCATTCCGTAATTGAGATAGATTCTCTAGAAGCGGATGTAGTTAGTTCTGAGGAATATCAGGAAAAAATGTTCTCGAGCTATTAAATTAATCGAATGTTGGAAGAGGATAAAATAAGTATTAAAGATCCTGAACAAAACTTGGTTAGACTGCAAAATGTACAAAGTACGGTAAAACTTCCAAAACTAGTTTTAGAGAAATATTCAGGTGATCCTGAAAAATTTTTACGGAGTTTTG